CACGCAGGCGCGCTCAGGAAGTTTACTGTGCCAGAGTATATCATGACATCTGTAGCCGCGTTTATCAACGAGTACAAGAATTGTTATCCTCATTTAGCTGGTATAGAATTGTTTGGATTAGGCTATTGACGACAGCAAATAAAAGCATATCAACTATGCAGGCTACATGGACCCAAAAAGGGAGCTAATTTAACACGACAAAGCTGCAAAGCATGGCAACAGTTGAATAGAATAAAAAATCGCAAAAGCCGGTTCTTCATAGAAAGAGCAGCACGCGACACAAGATGGATATGAATTGACTTAAGTTTAAACTTTGTGAAATAGCCCGAAAAGCGAGGGCTATTTTGTTTCAGGCCTGGTTAGCATAATGGTTAGTGCGTTTCTCTCCTATAGTCCGGGGTTCAAATCCCGGACACTGAGCGAAGAAATGATCTGGATTCGAGTTCCAGGCCGGGCTCGATTTATTTTTTTCATTTTTATTTGCACTGGTTATCTTGCAAATAAAAGTTATTGCTTTTTTGTACGTGAGTAACTTTTCATATATCTCCAGCGGTCATCATCACTGCGCCGCCGAAGCAGTCGGATGTCTTGTGACCAGCAAGGAGGGCCATTGACCAAGCATTAAGCGCAGTCAGCCGCTCGGCGCCGCCGGCATGCGACTTGGCAATCCACAGCACGTGTTGCGCAGCAGGGTGGCTGCAAGCCACTTTCAGAGTCCAAGCAAACCAAACCAACGCTTGCTGGCAATGTGTATCATTGCTGATCTGTCTCCTTCGTGCCTGCACCACAACAAAACAAGGAGGGAGATAGTTGAAAAAGTAGCGACAAGCTCATGGAAGAAGAAAAAAAGAAAACCAACCACTATATTCACTATCAATACACGGAAAAATGCTGAGACTGGGCTGATGATGACTGTCGCAATACTTGCTCTAAAAGAACCATCTCAGTCTCGTCATCAATATAGTCATAGCTGATATCGATGTTGCTGGGATCAGAACAAGGCGGGCTAGCGGTTTGTGGCAGTAGTGCTTGTGTAGCTGCCGCGTGGCCTATGCTACCATTACCGATGATAAGAGCCATGTGGTGGCGCATGCGAGCGTAGCTGCGGTTGCGTGGAGAAATTGTTCCGATAGTCGTGCCAGCTGGCCTGTTATTGCTGTTTAAAGCCGCAGAGGCAAAGCGCGCATTAGGCACACACTCGCGCAATAGAGCATAGTCAGCAGTGTCCATATTTTCAATAAATGGTGTGTAAACTGTGCCACTATAAGGAAGAAGAAGAAGGCTGCGGAGCTGAAATGCTCTGCCTCCTCCTCC